AGGTTCTCCTTCACTTGTAAAGGAAAAGGTTAGATGATGGGAGGTTCTCCTTCACTTGTAAAGGAAAAGGTTAGATGACGGAAGGTTCTCCTTCACTTGTAAAGGAAAAGGTTAGATGATGGAAGGTTCTCCTTCACTTGTAAAGGAAAAGGTTAGATGACGGAAGGTTCTCCTTCACTTGTAAAGGAAAAGGTTAGATGACGGAAGGTTATCCTTGTAAAGGAAAAGGTTAGATGATGGAAGGTTCTCCTTCACTTGTAAAGGAAAAGGTTAGATGACGGAAGGTTCTCCTTCACTTGTAAAGGAAAAGGTTAGATGACGGAAGGTTCTCTTGTAAAGGAAAAAGTTAGATGACGGAAGGTTCTCTTGTAAAGGAAAAAGTCAGATGACATGAAAGGTTTAACTGCACATGAAGGGAAAAGGTTAGATGACGGAAGGTTTTACTGCATGTAAGTAGTTAAATATTGACATGTACTACTATCAGTAGAGGCTGGCATGAGGTGACAATTTACTGTCGTCTTGGTGCACATGAGTCAGAGTGTGGTAAAATATTGTACTCATGCTGTAGATAGCATTAGTGTTGTTAATTAGAAGTAAAGAAAATGCTATATTCTTATTTTATTGTTGACTGTGTTGTTTGATGAGGCATGATTTTGTACGTACTATTGTTGACCTACTTTTTTTTTTACCAGCAGCATCTCTCAAGGATTTTTTAAAATCATTCTTAATCAAAATTTTTTTTGTTTCTTTTTGAATTTTTATACTATTTGATTTTAGTGAAATGTATCTGGTTTTAATACATGTATAACTGTACTCAATGAATTGGTGTGATCCTTCAGTGTAGAAATTACAATTTAGTGGTAGTTGATGCTAGCCAGTTAGCCCTAAACAGCCAATTGTTACATTGTATTGTTAGTTGATGTTAGCCAATTAGCCCTAAACAGCCAATTGTTACATTATATTTTAGTTGATGTTAGCCAGTTAGCCCTAAACAGCCAATTGTTACATTGTATTGTTAGTTGATGTTAGGCAATTAGCCCTAAAAAGCCAATTGTTACATTATATTTTAGTTGATGTTAGCCAGTTAACCCTAAACAGCCAATTGTTACATGATATTGGTAGTTTTTGTTAGCAGGTTAACCCTAAACAGCCAATTGTTACATTATATTGGTAGTTGTTGTTAGCAGGTTAGCCCTAAACAGCCAATTGTTATATTATATTTTAGTTGATGTTAGCCAGTTAACCCTAAACAGCCAATTGTTACATTATATTGGTAGTTTTTGTTAGCAGGTTAACCCTAAACAGCCAATTGTTACATTATATTCGTAGTTGTTGTTAGCAGGTTAACCCTAAACAGCCAATTGTTACATTATATTGGTAGTTGTTGTTAGCAGGTTAGCCCTAAACAGCCAATTGTTATATTATATTGGTAGTTGTTGTTAGCAGGTTAGCCCTAAAAAGCCAGTTGAATACATGACAATTGGAGTAGGGTTTATAAGAAGCAAGTTGAGAAAGTTATAGATTAGTATGAGATTTCTTAGTACTTTCTTACAGTTCATTTCAAATATTAATTTCCCAAGAGAATTTTAAAAATTTGTTTTACTTGTATAAGCAATTCAAAAGCTCGGCTAAAGAGGTTATGTTAATTGTACATGTAACTTTGTTAAACCACCACAAAACAATTTGAAGATGAGGTTATAATGGAACAAAGTGAAAAGTTTCACTTAGAAGGCAGTGTTATGTTATAGCTGGTGGTATCACTGAAGTGTGAGAACATGAAAATATAATGAAACATTTATTAGTGTTAAATTGATTATCATTTTAAGTCTTAGAAAAATACTTCAAACTCGTTAAAACATAATGTTATGTGACAGAGGTTGATCAAGATATGTAACCCCAGTAGTTGTTTTGGTAATGTCTGTAACATGTAATCACAAATACAGAATGCTGGTTTTGAGGACTTTAAAATCTCTAGAAATAGATATTTTATGTTTTGTGATGTAGTGCATATTAAACATTAGCTCAGGACCAACTGACAACACTCACCAAGCAACTTCCTGCCTTGTGTTATTGTTTTTATATCAGTTAAACCTGATGTTGTTAGTAACAAAAAAAGAATAATTTTCAGTTAGGTTTTTTTTTAAAAGAAAGGTTGAGGAATAGAACACAATATTTACCAGACATTGAACATCGTATCCCCTATACTTCATAGAATACTATAAATTAATAGTTGTTACAAACTTTGACTAGCTAACCCGTATATTTAATTTTTTTTAGAGTTAAACATTTCCTAGAGTTTATAGTTATCTAAAGTATACATGATCTTAAGTACATGCATATAAAGTGTTTAGAAATTTGCTCCCAACCCCACCCCATCTTCTTAGCAAGGTCCGTGTCTTCTAGTACTGTGTTGTGTCTGAAATATTAGCACAGCATACATTATAAAGAGTGATGTACCTGATGTCGTTTGGTGTGAATGTGGGAAACATTAGCACAGTATACATTATAAAGTTTGATCTATCCGATGTCGTTTGGTGTGAATGTGTGAAACATTCGCACAGTATACATTATAGTTCGGTGTGAAACATTAGCACAGTATACATTATAAAGTTTGATCTATCCGATGTCGTTTAGTGTGAATGTGTGAAACAGTAATGGTACCTTGTGAAACTGTGATATAACCACGTGTTATCTTCTTTCTTGTGACATAAATGTTGCTTGGAAAGGAAGTTTGCAT